TCCTAGATAGTCGGTAATGCTGTCCCCGTGACACGGATGAGGGACGCGAATCTATTCCAATTATGGGACAGTCAATGTATATGCTATATGGATACCTTTAGGTACTCCCTCCTATGAAACTACTACGATCACGTGATCCTCGCCGGCCGCCGTCTACTTCCCAATCATTGATTTCCTGTTTCGACTACTTCTTTCATTTTCTGTGTTTGCTTTAGGAGTGTACTGTCATTTTCCCTAGAAAAGGTATGTATTTTCATTAACTCCTAATCATGCACAACCCCTGACACAGAATGCAGCTTCCTTCGGCTAATTTGTTTGTCAATGGTCTCCGATCCGGCAGTTACACTTGCGTGTGTGCTATTGCACAATCAATCTTATTTAAAAAACGATTCCGGTGTTGCTTTTTCTCTAATCTGTTTTCACCCTTTGTTTTGCTGTTTTATCAGTCTCTGTTTTTCATGCACAGTTGTGATGAACAATACGAGGGCTTACAGGTTCCTCATGATAATCTTGATAACCCAAGCCCTGGGACCTGAGTGATATTTTCAAACTACCCAACACGCCTGAACCGAAATCGGATTTCGATTTGCATAACATTGGTTATATAGTTTAGTTGATCAGATCGGGTATCTTTCGAACACCGGTGATCCGTTCGTCCAGTATATTCAACACTACAGTGCTAGCGATAGTCGCGTGCCCAGATTATTTCATGACTACTTGTAAACCTCTTCGCCTAATCTGGAATCCATTTATCCGTACCTCTTGTTATAGATCACGAAATCTGCAACAGATTTCGTGATGAGTGCAGTGCAAGAAGGTTGTTGTTTCCTTTGCATAGTGTCGTCCGTTTGGCTACAAATTTCATGCAGTATATAACATGCAATTTAGCTCCCACATTCGTTCATCTCTGCACGTGCTTCAGTTGATGCTAAAATGACCCAAACTAATGATTGTCGTGTTGCTGCTTGCAGTCACTTTCATGGGACTAATTTGAAGAAGAATGAGGTGAATGCTCTTGCGGCAGCAAATCAATAGTTCATGCATGTGAAAGAACACCAGCTGCGCCGTTACTTGTGTTGTGAGATGCCACTCACAATTGTGATTGAACGTGTGATGCGCGCATGAAGAGCGGGTTGATGAATTCTCACGGCATCTGGGAGTGGATTAAGGTATTTACTGTTGTAACTACAGATAAGGTGAAGAGACCGCCAAACTGTTTGACCACTAACCAAGAACCTTTCATGAAATCACGAACCAACTATTGCAGATTAAATGTTTCGTTCTGTATAGTCCAACTGCTTCCCTGCCCGTGTCAAGTCAAGTCAAGCTAGGCTTTATGCACTTGAAGGGGGGAATTTTCAGCGATTTTCACGAGAGTGCAATGGAAGTAAGGGAAAAAACGCAGGAGTGTGAAGAAAGTAAACAAAAACGACGGCGCACTGCGAGCAAGAAGACGATAATGATAATTTAAAAAATAAATTGATAAACTAACTCATGAAAAGTGCTGTAATAATAATAAAATAATAAAGTATAATATGATATAATAATAGTGCCTGGTTCACTAAAAAGCGTACAAGAAAAGGAAGGATATTGTTTCTGTATGTGGTGGTGGATGGGTTGAGTACGGGGGTTTAATGTGCATTTAAGAACTTTGTTGTACAATCAGTGATCTTCGTTGCTCAAAACTCTATCAGCCATTCTTTCACATGCGTCGATATGCTTGCACACAATAAAATCTACTAGGACATTTCTAGCTATACCACTGCATCGGGAAAGGAGTTTTATGGATATGGAAATTAATATGAAATCNAAATTGGGAGATTACGTGTGCAGAAGCAGAAAGCAAAAAAAGAAAGTTTACAAACCCTATTGTAAACGTTCTCCACATGACTAATCCGGGAGAGATTGTGGGATAGAACGACTTCGAGGTATTTAACAAAGGTAGCTTTGGGAATTCTGTGACTGTTAACGACGAGGTCAAGAAAGTCATTGAAAGTGGTTTAATAACGAGGGCCAGATTTGAAATTGAAAGGAACGTCAACACACTTGTAAATAATAAGCTTAAGCGATCGGGACAGGGACCACCTAAAGACGTCTTTCAGACTGCCTTGAAGTTGGTGGAAAGATACATCGTTATTAGAGGGGCACCCAGTTAACACATCTTCAGCATACTTACAAGCAATAAATTTGGTAGGTTCAGGTAGATTGTTTATGTACAGGGAAAAAAGAATGGAGACAAAATGCACCCTGAAAAATAAGTGAGTTAACGTAAGAAAAAACCGAAGTTGCATTAGGTAAATTGTTCCCTAAAAGAGAAGTATTCTACAAGAATGTTTTACACGTTGGATCCTAAGCCGCAGTTAGCAAGATGTTGAATGAGAATACGACGGTCAAGCGAACCAAAGATGTTCCCATAATCGAGCAAAATTAAGCGAACAGTTCCAGCACTCCTGTCTTAATCTGAGACCACAGAATGGACAACATGCGCGACGGTGTCAACAGTCGACAAAGGTTGTTTACAAGCAAACTGAAGAGGATCGAGAATATCACAGAGAGTAATCAAACGGTTCAGCAGCACGCCTTCAAAGAATTTCAACAGGGCTGAGGTACAGGTAATCGGTTAATACTCTTTTTGGGAATGGGTCTTATCCGGACAGCCCTCCAGCAATCCGGGATTGTTCCGGAGGACATGCACAAATTAAACAACACGGCAATGGGTTTCGCAAGGTGTTCGGCTCAGGTTTTCAATAAATGAGGGATAATGAGCCTGATCCACAGGCCTTGCTTGGCTTAAGTTGCTTCAAAAACTTGAGAACCTCAGTCAGATAAACGGAGTTGGTGTTTTCAGGGGAATTCAAAACGGACGGCAGAGAATTGGGACCAGAGGAGGCGGAAGATTGTCGATTTAGTTCTTGTACGTCAGGACAGGAGCTCTCAAGTGTACCACGGAGTTGCTTCAACGTCGACCACATCTCACGACAGCTCTGGTTCCCCCAAAATGGTCTCAATATACATCCGATTCAAGCGCTGAATCTCTGTCATGATGATCATCGATAGTCGTTTAACATAATAGTGCCTGCCATTCATATACGCCTTCTTATCACGGCGAAGACGTTTAGAAGAGGCGATAAAAATCTTTCAGCACGGATATATATGGCCGCGATGAGGCAACAAAAATCAAAACAGAACATAAGATAGCCGGTAAGATGTTCGCATCTGGAAGAGTTGTTTGAATTGGAAAAAACAGAAAAATTAGTCTTTCTTCCTTTAAATAATTGTCTTCGGCCCGGCATCGGCCTTGTAGATATATGACACTTGTAGTTAGGTGTTCAATTTGGTCTGTTTACTATCGCTGAATCTGATTCGCTTTGACACATCTTGAGCGTAATGTCAAGCCTTCCATTCTATTGTCCCTGTAGAAAGTTCATCCAGATCATTGTCATCGTGCAACACTTCGAGTCGCTCCAATTGACCTTAACTCTGTTCTGTTTCTCCTGACGTTTGCCACGGTTGTCTGGATTCATCGCTCAACGTGACTGTTGTTGAGTGCTTGCACACCTTGCTAGGTTATTTCTGGAGCGACTTGTATTCTATTCAGTGACCTGTCTGAATTCGGTTTGCACGAAGGTCGAAATCCTGTCAGTTGTAAAATTCTATTCCTAACAAGCCAGGCTCTCTGAAAATATTCACGGCTGCAACTGAACTGTGTGATTGGTTACAATGGGCACTTTGTTTTCACGCATCCCCGCCCCGGTTTCATAATTTTGTTAGCTCTATACATCCGAGGGAATTTGTTTCACACTGTGATGGTCATTCACACCGATTTACTCCCTTCCCCCCCTATGTGGCACAGTCCTGTCCGTCCTCCACTGTCTTTCCTATCGTCAGAAGTTTTTTCTGCCATCATGATAACCCGTTTGCAATGTGATTCCTGGTGCTCGCTATTCCCACGTGATTCGGGGTAACGATGTCGTAGAGCTTTTGTGCTTTGCGGCCATTTTTTTGTTTCCCCTGTAGTGCTTTTTTCTACCCCTTTCAACGTATAGTATTCAGTCTTGAGGCTTTACTGGTCACAAGGCGCTTGAAGTAAGAAATTCATCTGCTCATGTGCTAGTCATCAACGTTTTGGGAAGGTGACAGATAGAGTATACACACTGACATTCCTTGTGGAGACCAACCCTGATTTTGGGAAAGATAGATTATCTGAACCCACTGCATCCGTGTTTTCCATTGCCGTAAGGAAGTTACAGTTTCCGACTGTTGAGAGAGGAGATTTTGATTTTTAGCACAATTAATGAGTTTTAACCGTCAAAGTTTTCTTGTGGGAAACAACGGTTGCTTTTGTTGTCCAATTTCCTTTCCTGTCCAATTGCCGATCATTCAGGGATGAGTAATGTCACAAATTGTCAACGTTTCGTGTACTACTACGGATTTGCCGATTTAAAACATGATAATGATTCATGCAATCTGTAATTGAAAAAATCAAATATGAGTTGCAGAAACAACGCGAGGTCTTGGGGAATTCCAGATACTACATAGTCTGAAGGCGAATGAATGACGCCGACACTGGTCGACAGTTTCGGAGCTTTAATTTGAATAAAGGCTCCTGAGGTGAACTTTGCGCGACACCGTGAACAGCGTACGACATGCGTGATCAGAATTCTGTATTATTTGATACCGAAATCAAGTCTCCTTGAGTTAGGTGATACCTGATGGAATGCAACCCCAGTTATTCCAATCTTTCCTCTTATATCTCGAAATGCATTCCCTTGATCATCTCGATAGTCATTATTTGTGGGACGTTCTAAAATCCTACGATCGCTTTGCAGCCATGGATTCCACATTTATGTGGAGTCGAATAGCATAGGTTCAGGTTTACAAAAGCCTCGCTTTAGCAAATCAACATGTCAAACAGCTGCGGAAGACCCTTGGAGCAGTTTATAGAACAACTTAGATCGTCTTGAACGACGACTCCAAGATCCTTCTTTCATTCAAGGTACATGAAGGTTGGTAATATCCCGGGAAGTACGGAAAACGGGTTTTGTGGCGAAGAGATGAGACCGTACATTTCGATGCGTTGAATTCAATTTCGTTTTCCATCGACCATTGATGAGCAGTACTAATTGTTTTCTGGAGTGCCAATGAACCCCCTGGTTTTTGTCACTAATTTGTATATTTTCCATCGTCTGTCCGTTTGTGGCCCCAGAATATCCGTTAGATCGTTTACGAAAACTGGACGAGGTTAACCTGATTGCCCTAGGGATCATGAATGAGGATTTTAAATCCCACGCAATCTGGCTTTAGCCCTTGTAGACGCGATTGCTAGCAGTTCCTCAGATGGATCAAACGGACAATAGTGTATCTGCATCTTTGTTGTTTGAAGAAAAAAACTTTCGAAACACTTTTATTCCGTGATCCACAGCGAATCAAACTTACTAGCTCCCAATTGTTTCGGTTCATGCTTCAGTTGCCCAGGCTAGTCACTCGTGCAGGTTGTTCTCCCACGTCGTTTTCTCGTGTACATTAACAGTAATGAGTTAAACTGATTTTTGAACTAATCTCCCTTAACCACCTTGTTTATGGGAGTTTTTCTATTTGATGGTTCCTCTCAAATCACGTGGCGTACCAAAAAATGAGCTCCATATGCTTTATCACCTGAATTTGTTGGCTCAAGGACACCAATGTATCTTCGTTCCATCCTCATTTCCAATCCACTCAAAATAAACGGCTTGTGATCCGAGTTATATCTATCAGTCGATCGACCCAGCCCCATCTCACTCTAAACTTCTTGGCACTTGAGAAGCCCAGGTCACTGGCCCGCAGATCAGACTGTCCGTTTCTTGAATTCAAGCTTCAATTGAACCTCCAGTTCTATAGATTCATCAGGCACTGTTCGCCCATTTATTTTGAATTATCTACCCAACTGTGGTGAGCAGTAGGATGTGTGAGCATCCATGGTCACCAGAACCTACTGTTCGGATAGTGGTGGCACTGAATGGTCAATTCATAACTGTGAAGTGTTTTACTTTTGTCGGTCTCTGTCTGTCCGTCTTCTTGATCAGTTAGCCCTCCTTTCCATCCTTGCTACCTGCTTGTATCACTTAGTTGTTTACCTGCCTCCATAGATAACATCAACTCTGTTAACCGTCCTCCACCATGGAGTTATAATAAATGTTGATCCGTTTAACAAAAAATTGTTTTTTTCAAATCAGACACCGGTGTTGCTATTTTTCCATCGACAGTGTGCATATGTAAAACACCGAAACGGAAACAAGCTTGGTGCCAACAGAACAGTTTACAAAGAACAATAATGTTCTTTATGTTTCATTACCCTATAGGGGGGGGGCATATTTGTCACTCACAGGATGCTAATCATGGCAAATCCATCGATGGCGCCCTGATGTAAACTAATTTTTATATCCTGATATATTTCACCGTTGGACTACCCTTTTAACTTTACTTTCACTTACTTTACTTACTAGTGTTGATATGTAATGTACACAGCTGAGAGCGCCTGTAAAAGGTGCTAATAGAAACATCTTTTCTGGTCCCAACACTCTTCGTTCGTTTCATCAAATGCAATGGAGTGTCACTGTCGACTTGTTATTCCTATGAAATCGAGCTGTTTATCGATCTCTCAGATTTCTCATTCTTCTGAGTGTTCCAACTTTATAAAGATGAACTACTAAGGCATTGACAGTCCGTAGTGGCAATATGTTCGGGTGCCTTCCGACTCCAAAGTTCACTTTTTGCAAACATTAACCATGCATTTTCATGCGCCGGTTTTTGTTGCTGTATTTTGGATACCCATTTGGATGAAAGAGCAGAATGAAGATTGAAATGTTGAGAGCAAAGTCAGAGAAAAGCTAGGAAATTCATGCAAACTGAGGTTGAAAGAATAATGAGTAGATGCACAAGCGCCACTGTTTGCAGCACGCAGCCATATCACTCTGTGTCTCTAACCAACGGTTGCGATGATCCCGGTGTCCCCATCCAGGGAGCCTGGTTGGAGTTTGCATACCCTCATACCAGGTCTTAGTTGGACCGCCCTTGACCTTTTTCCAGTGTATGAATTGATAAAGCAATATGAAATAGCTTAACTCGCACTGAGACTGAATTTATGATAAGGGTAGCTTGTGGTGCGCTCCTAATCACTGTCGCACTCCCAAACCCACTGTCTGTGCACTCGGTTTCTCTGTGCCACGTCAGGTAAATTTGTTTTTTTTCTTTTACAGGAGACTAACGTCGCTCCGGGGTCTACTGTGACTCACACCTCGAATACTCCTTCGGATCGGAAGTCAGTCACGTTTGATCGTGCCACGTTCCGACCTTCGTCTGCTACTGTGGCATCCTCTCCTCTAAACGAGAATCCCACACAGTTGGATCCGTTCGCAGCTGTTGTCGTTCAGCGTACCGCGTCTTCTCGACACAAGTCCGCAACCAGTCGTGCTCGTCGACGTCCGCGATCCCAGTCACGATCTAGCTCAAGCACTACCTCAGAAGCAGCCAACAACACGCAAAGTCACCCCGAGGCTCAACATCTTTCGCCAGCAAATTTTTCTCATTCCGGTCGTGCGTCCACAAAACGTTCAAGACGTAAACGGCGTACAAGCGGGTAAATTCTTGAATCTCTCACGCACTAACCATGATTTTTTTTCCGTATTTGTTTGGTTCCCACATCCCACCAGTGGCTATCATAGTTCAGTGTTTAGTCGTTCCTCAATGTCGGTTTTTCCACAAACATCGTGTGATGAACGAAAAGCCGGCGAACCCTATGGATACGACCTCAACGTGGTAGGTTGCCTTGCGTGACTCCATGAGTCAACGAGCTATACAGAGTGACCTATTGCAGCCGCAGCACATCTCAATTAAGGTCAAGTCAAGAGCTTGTCTGCTACACACTTCCCTTAACAAACAGCGATATGACATGGAGGCACCACAGGTGTCGCAGGTTAGCAAAAGCTGTTCTAGCTTTTGCTATACGTGATGCGATCTCCCTAACACCACCACCAGCTGCGATCAAGCTTCCGAGGTACTTAAAGCTGATCGCTACAGAGGATGAGTGCAAGCACAGGCTTCTACCAGTCTTGAACTAACACTTTGCATTTGGACGGCGCAACGCACATGCCATACCTGGATACTTCGACTCTGTTCCCTCGGAGGGGTTTGACTCCACCGTTTACAAGCGCAGATAAAGTATTCTGTAGAACATCTATGGCAAAGTTGAAGAGAAATGCGAATATAGGGCAGCCTTGTCGAACTGCACTGGAGACCGCAAAGAGTGGCAAAAGCTGGCCATAGGCCGACCTGAGGTATGACGTTACGGCTCTTTGAGGGTCGACACACTTCTCAGGTACTCCATTTCCCAGCAAACAGTTCCGTAGTGCGGTCCTGTTGAAGGCCACGCGGATATCTGAGGACACAATGATCGTTGGTCTGATAGGCGTGACGGTGTTCTAGGAGTTGCCGGAGGATGAATATTGGATCGATGCATCCACGATCGGCGCTAAATCCAGCCTTTTCNCACGCATAGTGTACAATCAGCGGAGAATAACCGACGACAACAGCTTAAACCCTATCGGGATCAAATCTATACCCGTATGATTGGTGCAGTCACTGCGTGGTCCTTTTTGAAGATGGGAACGGCAATCGATTCCCTCCACGATAAGGTGACCTGCTCAGTATGCCACCAATTCTGTTACAAGTTTTATTGTAACATCTTCAAATGGAGCTGGGGAAAAGCCATCAGATCCCGGCGTTTTTTGACGCCCCAAGGCTTGGATCGCTTCACGGAATTCCCTCACAAGTGAGTCTGTTGAGACAGACCATGGGGTTTTTACCAGAGTAGCTGTATGAGATGCTGACGCTAGTTGCCAGCTATCGTCTATCGAGGTGATGGCTGCTTACTTTGCACGAGCCTCTGAATGTTACTGTGCGCAATCTACTGTCGACTGGGATCCACTATAGGAGCACGGTTTCAGCTCTCTCACTGAAAGCCACGTCAACGCCAGCATGATCGGAAGCCGCAGCCTCAGGGTTCAAAATAGGCGTTAGTGAAACTTCTCAGATTGGTTCGATGGGGACGTCGGATCGCGGACCTGAAGTTTTGAATACTGTTTCTTCGGTGGCTTGGGTCTCGAGCGGACGAGTTAAACACGCCTGTTTTCTTATACGCATCAGAGTACGCACATGACCGTGACTATTTTAAACGGACATCAAGGCCGAAGAAGGGCTTCAGCTGGTGGAGGACTCGGTGAAACTTGGATGCTAGTCGAGGTAAGACACGAGAGAACAGCGGCATAATTTTTACCCGAGGCACTGCTAGTGCAATCGTCCGAGGCTGGGAAAACATGAGTGTGTACGGTGTAGAATGTCCTTCGTTTGATGAAGAAGCTTCGGAGTGCAGATTCATGAGAGCAAGAACGTTCAGAGTTGTGCGTGGTGGGCTATTTTGCTGTTCGGTCACCCGGTCGAGAGTAAGCCTTGTTTGAGGATACACTCTAGCCTTTGCGCAGCGAAGTGCGGGCTGCAAGCAAGCAGCGATGTTCCAAATGGGCCGATGACCAGTTTTCGGTTCATTCGCATCTTCTGTAAAACCTTGTAGAACAATGGGTCTCGACAAGGGCCAATGACCATATGTAATGGCAAGCCACACGCCACGTCACAGCGCTTTCCACAGGTATTTGCGGTGTTTTTTACGGAGAACCCTTGCCAGGAGGTGACCCCATCACATCCACGAGTGTTACCGTTGATCATCCGCCACTGCTTATTCGGGGGGCCCAAACCCACCTGCGAAATAACCGTTCCCCTATCCGCGATCTGTGGACGCACTCGGTTGCATGTAGCTCTGGGGCGACATTAATGCATACAAGATACGGAACTATGGAGAATCTGTATACTTTTATGCGTGTTCGAATGTGTTTGTACTTGAAGCTAGTAAAGGATATTGAAGTACACTTCGATAGTGCTGACTTAAGAGAATAACAGATATCCATCAGTTTTTTATCCAGTTAATCACGGACCTGGATCTGGTGGGAGACAGCCTAATAGATAACGTGAGTTCTGGGTGAACCATAATGCATGGATAAATGTTTGATTGCTCGGGAAAACACACGCCCTTTTGCAGTGAAAACAAGAAAAATCTCGGGGGACGCATAGAACCGGTTTGGTGAAATACAGAATACTAAGAAACCAACACCAGACCATGAATAGTTGCTTTCTTTGACGACTACTGTCTCCTTTGCTTTCTCTGAATTGTGTTTTCGAAAATCATACATCTTGTGTACGTTTTCACAGTTCCCGAAAACGAACACATTCCAGTGTAACTGGTACACCCGGAAACGAGGGCGACTCTTCCCACGGGCATCAAGTTTACGTCGCGACGGGAGCGTCAGCCAGCAAACAGAGGTTGGTCATTCCGTTCCATTTTTTGTTTGTCTGTTGAGTGTATCTGCGTCTGTCCTGTTGGTCTGTTCTAGCTTGTTTCAAGCCGTTATCACTAGCTCTGACTTCACCGAACGAAACCGTAGTGATCAGACACTGTGTTTTGTTCCCGTTTACGACCCAATGGTATCGCGCATCACGTGAACAGATTCGATATTGATGTTCAGCGGTGGTCCGATGAGAGTTGTTTATGCCAGTTCGCTTGATAATGGTCCCTTGGCAGGAGCATCCATGTAACTGCAAGGTGTTCCACTATAATCACTATGATTTGCGTAGTACTTTTCTATTTTGACTATCAGTAGGTGTTAAGTAATTGGTTCATAATCAGTAAAGTGACAGTTAACGTGGTGTTACGTGTCATTGAGTGCATAAACCTTTGCATTAATCGGTTTGTTGTTTTGACCTGAAATTGCGTTCTGCGCTGCATCATATGATTATATCGATGTCCTAAGCATCTTGGTGATGATTGTTTTGATAACTCCGGGGTGTCGGTTGCGCATCACTCTGCGGGTTCCGTGTTCTAATCCTTTCTCCACCCCTCCCTTTTATCATTAGAGGATTTAGTCAAGCTCGATCTCAACTTGCTTCTGCGCCTTTTTCGGATCTGAAATAGAGTTTCGGTGTTTTCCATGGTTACTTAGTCCTCGCACAGCTTTGAATGTTGTCAAAGGGAGATGGATTATTTCTCAATTTCTAGTATAATATTTCAATAAACTTGATTGGAAAATCGTTCCCCATTTTGCATCCTTTCATCTGCGTTATGTATATTTCCTGTCTGGGTTTTTAATATCTTACTACTTGAAAGCTCACTGGGCAGATAGCTAATATGCTTAAAGTACCCGCCTTAATTTCGGTTTATAGTTACCACTGCAGTATCGAACGATTTTGCCGTCTCTATCAATTTTACCCGTATGCGCCTGTCAGAACTAGAATCGCGGATTAAATCTAAAGTTGTGTGATGTTACACACAAGACATCCTGTTAAACGTGGATTCTAACTCTGAAATTGATTTGGAACCGTGGTAATTCTTTCTGAACAAATAGTACAATAGAATTATATTCAGTGCTTTGAAGAATAAACCCCCTTACGTGTAATGAATACAGTTCATGAAATTATCGCTAGGCATCGTCCGGTGACCTTTCAAAGACTGCTGTTTTATTTTATCATTTTGAGTTAAACTGTGTAACTGTCACTCACAATTCGTCTGGACGTGCCAGCAAGCTGTCTCGCGGAAACCAGTTCTTTTGAAGTAAGGCTGTATTCTCTCGACTGGATGTTGCTTGTTTGCTTGACGATTGACCAAAATGATCATTTCTTATCGGTCTTGTGTGCATCGCGTATCTGTCGTCTAATCCTCGATTTTATAAGCGGCCAGCAATGTTTTATAGTAATTAAAGGTGATCTGGAAGGATCCACTGTTCACTAAAGAATCCAATTAAGTTGTCTGATTGTTGCGTTATGGACAATGCTAGACCACCACCATTGAGAAATACAGACTATCGTTTTCAGACACGGATTAAGATGTAACCAACCAGCAGCCCCAAGCCACCTGACTTTATACACGAGTGCGCGCAAGATGACCCCCGTAGCTGGTCCACCAATTACGAGCTCAAACATCTTGTTCACATGGTCATAACGTGCCTAAAGTGTCTCGTTGGTCACACCCAGGAAAAACACGAACCATGGTACACCTACGCATCACGACCTTGGAAACCTCCCTGGCCATGAACGAACCTACCGATGCGCCACAAGATGA